CCCCCCCTGCCTAGTGATCCTCCCCTTAGGGACCCCACCTCCTCCTCCTCCTCCTCCTCCTCCTCCTCCTCCTCCCGTCTGGTGCCTCTGCCTTCATCCCTTCCTGTTTGGCCTCCCCTTAGCCACCCCCTTCCGCCTTTCTCCTCTGTCTGGACCCTCTGCCCGCAGCACCCCCTGCCCAGTGGTCCTCCCCTTAGCCACCCCTGCTCCTTTTCCTGTCTGGTACTCCTCGCCTCAAGCTCTCCCTGCCTGGTGGTCCTTCTGCCCTTAGCCACCCCTCTTTCCCAGGTGATAATCTTCTGCAATCAAAGGAAGACGGGGGGGGCTCGGAAAGTATAGCCCAATGGGTGTTAAGGAAAGGAAGGAGGTGGGAAAAGATGTACCTGGGGTTAGGCCGGGGAGAGCCCCAAAGGTCTCGGGGGTACAGGGATTTGGGGATCCCGGGCCCTGGGTCCCGGCTTGGGTTTCCTGGCTCTGGCGGGGCAGGAAGCGGAGTTGGGCCGGTTTTCCGGAGGCTCTGGCCCTCCTGCCCCTCCCGCTTCCTGCCCTGACTGGGAGGGGTCCCCCCACACCCCACACCCGCCTCCTCCCCTCCGCTTCCTTCCCCTTCTCTGCCAGTGCCTCTGAGCTCCTCCTCCCACGGAGGCTCAGCCCAGCCAGAGGTGCATGGTGGCCCCTTCTCTTCTTCCATCCCCAGCTCTGTGACTCTCTTCCTGTCTCTCTTCTTCCCTCCTCTTTTCCTGACCTCTGGTCACTGTCTCGACCTGGATTCCTCCTTGGATTTGTCTTTCTGCCCCTTGGTCACTGTGGAGCTCAAATCTGTCCAGCATGTGTTTGCCCCGCCCAAGCCCCTCCTTTCCCCTGGCTCGGGACCTGCTGGCCCTGCTGTTGGCTGGCTGGTTGGCTGCCTGTACTTCGGTGCTCTTTCACCTGCCTGTGTCTGTCTCTCTCCCCGCCTGTCTGCCTGTCTCTGTCTGCCTGTACTTCGATGCTCCCTCACCTGCCTGTGTCTGTCTCTCTCCCTGCCTGTCTGCCTCTCTCTGTCTGTCTGTCTGCCTGCACCTCGATGCTCCCTCACCTGCCTGTGTCTGTCTCTCTCCCCACCTGTCTGCCTGTCTCTGTCTATCTGTCTGCCTGTACTTCGGTGCTCTTTCACCTGCCTGTGTCTGTCTGTCTCCCTGCCTGTCTGCCTGTCTCTGTCTGTCTGTACTTCGGTGCTCCCTCACCTGCCTGTGTCTGTCTCTGTCCCTGCCTGTCTGCCTCTCTCTGTCTATCTGCCTGCACTTCGGTGCTCCCTCACCTGCCTGTGTCTGTCTCTCTCCCTGCCTGTCTGCCTGTCTCTGTCTGTCTGCCTGTCTACCCTTTCTACCTCTCTGTGTCTCCCTCTTGCTCTGTCTGCCTGTCTCTGTCTGTTTGCCTCTATCCCCTTTCTGTCTCTCGTCACGCTCTCTGATAGCTCTCTTGTCTGTCTTTCTTCTTGCCTGCCTGTCTCTTCCTTTCTCTCTGACCCCCTCATCTCTCTTCCTCTGTGCCCCTCTGTCATCTCTCTTGCTGTGTCCTTTCATCTCTCTCTTTCTGTATTTCTCTTTCTCGTCTCTCTCCCTGTCTCCCTTTCTCTCTCTCTCTCTCTCTCTCTCTCTCTCTCTCTCTCTCTCTCTCTCTCACACCTCTTTCTGTGGGCCCCTAGGTGGCGCCACAATACACAGAGTGCCTGACCTGAAGTCAGGAAAACTAATCTTCATGAGTTCAAATCTGGCCTAAGACACTTATGAGCTGTGTGACCCTGGGAAAGTCACTTCACCCTGTTTGCCTCAGTTTTCTCAGCTGTAAAATGAGCTGGGGAAGGAAATGGCAAACCACTCCAGTATCTCTGCCAAGAAAACCCCAAATTGGATCACTAAGAGTCAGACACAACTGAAAAAAACAGCTCTCATCTCTTTCTCTTTCCATCATCCCTCCTCTCTCTATGTATGTCTCTCTCACTGTTTTTTCTCTCTCTGTCTGCCTGTCTCCCTCTTCATCTGCTTCTCTCTCCCTTTCTCTCTTTCATGTCTCTCATCTTTGTTTCTCTTTCTCAGTCTGCCTATCTCCCCCCCCAACCCTTTCCTTCTCTCCCTCTCAGTCTCTTCCTATCTGTCTTGTCTTTTTTCCTCTCTATCTCTCAGCCTCTGTGTCTCTTTCTTTGTCTTTGTCTTTATTTAATTAATTTTAATTCAGCAAACTTTTTTGTTTGTTTTTTGCTAGGCAGTAGGGTTAAGTGACTTGCCCAGAGTCACACAGCTAGTAAGTGTCAAGTGTCTGAGGCCAGATTTTAGCTCAGATCCTTCTGACTCCAGGGCCAGTGCTCTATCTACAGCTGCTCCCTCAGCAAACTTTTTTTTTCAGCCAAAGACAAGGTTTATTAAAGATACACTGTAGTGACCAGACTTTTAAGGAATCTGAACATTGTGAACTTTTGGCTAGGTTCTTAAGGAATCGGAGCTCAGCAAACATTTATTAAGCTCCTACTATAAGCAAGGCCCTATGCTGGACTCCTGAGAAAAGAAAGAAAGAAAGGAAGAAAGAAAGGAAGAGAGAAAGAAAGAAAGAAAGAAAGAAAGAAAGAAAGAAAGAGAAAGAAAGAGGGAGGGAGGGAGTGAGGAAGGAAGGAAGGAAGAAAGAAAGAAAGAAAGAAAGAGAAAGAAAGAAAGAAAGAAAAGAAAGAAAGAGAAAGAAAGAGAAAGAAAGAAAAAGGAAGGAAGAGAAAGAAAAAGAAAGAAAGAGAAAGGAAGGAAGAAAAAGAAAGAAAGAAAGAAAAAGGAAGGAAGGAAGGAAGAGAAAGAAAAAAAGAAAGAAAGAAAGAGAAAGGAAGGAAGGAAGGAAGAGGAAGGAAAACATATTCCCTGTCCTCTAGGAGCTCACATTCTACTATCATTATTTGCCCACAAATAATAATAGTGCACCCGAAGACACAAAATGTTCTAAAATACATTTGAAGGGGGTGAAACCACTTGGTAGGGAGAGGTTCAGGAGGGCTTCACAGAGGAAGTGGCACCCTCCTCTTGAGAGTTTTGAGAGAAGAGAAGGCTTTTGAGAGGCCCAGGGGCAGAGACGGGGCATGCCAGATATTTGGGCTGGCCTGTGTAAATGTGCCTAGGTGGGAGATGAGAAGAGTGGGTAGGGCCCATTTGACCAAAAGGTAGAATCTGTGGAAGGGAGAAATGTAGGGGGGGGGGAACGTGTGAAAAGGGAGGGTGCAGCCAGCTCGTGAAGAGCTCTCAGCTTCTCAACAGAGTGTGTATTGTGTCCTAGAGGTAAGGGGAAGTCCCACAGTTCTTTGAGCAAGGCAGTTGATACAGCCACACACTCGCCTTGGATTATAATTGGCAGCTATGCAAAGGGTGCATTGGTGAGACAGAGGCGGACAGACCAATTCAAAGGCAATGAAAATAGTGTGGGCGAGAGGCAACGAGGTCCTGAGCTAAACCGGGTGGGTCTGGCGAAGGGAGAGAAGTTGCAGGATTGACAGAGTCGGCAGCCGAGGAAAAGGAGAGGGAAGAGTCCAGGCCCGCCCTGAGCTTTGGGATCTTTCTCGCTGTCTGTTCGCCTCAGCCTCTGTTTCCCTGTGTGTCTGTAGTTCTCTGTTGGTCTCTGGGTAGCTTGCTTTCTGTCTTGTCTGTTCTTTCTCTGTCTCTGTCTCTTTGTCCCATTCCCTGTGCCAGGTCTCACCCTTCCTTCCAGCCCTCTCCATCCCTCCAGATAATTGAGTTCCCCATCCTGGGGCTCAGCTCTTTCTCACTCAAGCATTGTGCTTGGAAAGGTCCCCTCCAAGCTGGGAGAACCTGGATTCATATCCTGTTTCTGACACATACTGACTGTGTGACCTTGGACAAAAACACAGTGCCCCCCTACATTACTGAGAAGGTATCTGGATGCCTTGGTAAAGAGAATATCCCAGGCCAGTGATCCCTAACCCCCATCTCTCACAGCCGAGGGAAATATAGGATCAGCTTGCCCAGGGCCCTGGTCACAAAAACCCATTTCTTCTGGGCTAGGTGAGGGAGGGGGTCATCTGGGGATCCATATGGCATTCTCCCACCCCCTCTAGATGAACTTCTGGAATGCGGAGCCTCTCCTTCTGAAGCTTCTTCTTCTTTCATCATCTTTCATCACATGAGAGCTTATCCTTGGCTGCATCTGGGAAGGCATTGCCCTCCTCACTCCCCTGGAGCTGACAGGACCAAGGAGCTTAGCCCTCAGCCCTGAGGACCCTTAGAAGCCCCCTAGTCCAAATGTTCCATTTTACGGGAAGTGGGAACTGAAAGCTGGACAGGAGATGGTACCAGAGAGATGAGCATTGTGGTCTAAGGAGAGAAATAAGGGATGGGGTGGGGTGGAACAGGAGATGCTTAAGCACGCTTGAAGGGAATCAGGATGCCTGGGTCCCTGAGTAGGGCAGAGATCCATCCCCATTCAATCTCTGAGCACCTCTCTTCTGCCCCCTCCCATAGGTACTTCCTGTTTCTTCCCCACCCCCACCCCCAAGGGAGGGGTAGAGTAGCAGGTGCTGAGAGAGAGGAAGGCGGATGGGGCTTGTTTACTCCCCAGCTTGGGGAGATTTAGCTACAGCTGGAGAGGAACACCCGAGACCTGCCCAGCTGGGTGGGTTTCCAAAGAACTGGGGACTCAGGTCCTGAAAGAGGAGACAGACGTGACAATCAGACACCTGGGTCACTGGGCGAGGAGGGGGGCATGGTGACTAGGCAATGAGGACATCCAGGGCTAGGGGATAAGGATGCTCAGCTCTCTAACGGGAGCGGGGTACAGTTAGGCTTCATGACCCCTGGGTTCCCGTGGCAAGGTGTTTTACATGCAGACCATCAGTCCGTCTCTTGCTGGGAATGGAGCCTTCCTTCCCAGTGGGCCACAGATTTATTATCTTAGTAGCTATGACAAAGCTTGGGGGGAGAGGGACTTCCAGGGATCCTGCTTCAGGCATCTCCTGAATTACTGGGAGTAAGTTACAGGGGGTCAGGAGTTAAAGCATGAGTGGGATAGAGGAAGGGGCATATCATGGGAGAGGGGAACGGGTGTCAAAGACTTAGGAAACAGAACAGGGAATGTCAGAGCTGGGAGGGCCATTAGAACAGGGAATGTCAGAGCAGCTAGGGGACACCTTAGAATAAGGAATGTCAGGGCTGAGAGGGACCTTATGTGCCATCTGGTCAAACCCACTCCTGAGGAAACTGAGAGTGGGACAAAGTCAGAAAGACCTGAGGGGGGTGGTGGGGGGGGGGGGGGGTGGGGGCTTTGGGCAGGACCAGGCAGGGCCCTCATGGCTTCTCCAGCTGGACGTCTCCCACCCTGAGGGTGGTGGCATCTTGGTAGGTCCCCTGCAGGCCCCTGGAGATGTCCTCATACATGGCACAGTCGTCAAGGTTAAGGCCCTACAGGAAAGAGGAGGAAGCCGGAGGTCAGCCTCGGGGGAGGAGGTGGGAGATGTCTCTTGGGGCCCTCCCTCCACCTTGGGTCGAGGGAGAGAGTCTAATCCCACCTCCGTCCCTAGTCTCTCCACCCCTAAAGGGGCCTCACCTCATACAAGTTCTCGTCATCATAATAATCCAGGTGATCGACAGCATACCTCTCATTCTGCCAACGCTTCTAAAGTGGAGAAAAATGTGGGAGTGGGGAGAAATCAGCTGGAAAAGTGGGAGAAAATCAGCCAGAGAAGTGGGGAGAAATCAGCCGGAGAAGT